GAGTTCAGGCCCCACAACCAGACCCCCCCCAAAAAAAAGAGATAGGAGTCCCATGGCCTTTCCTACCTGGGCTGATTTCAAACCTCAGCCCTCAGATTTCAACCTCCTGAGAAACTACAAATACAGTGAGAGCCACCAGTACCCAGCCTTACGAAACAATTTTGTGGTATTGACACTTGAACCCCAGGCCTTACTTGCTAGGCAGTTGATCTCCCCTTGAGCCACACCACCAGTCTTTTTTCTTTTTTTGCTTTGTCAGATAAGGTCTTCATGCCTTTTTTCCCATGGCTAGCCTTGGACCTGCGTCCTCCTGTCTTTACTCCCCAGTAGCTGGCATTACGGAAGTGCACTACCATGCCCAGCTAAAGTGTTTTAAATAGGGATTTGTGAGAGCCCCTGTGTTTGCTGCCATCAGACTCTGGGAAGCCCCCCAGCTGCCCTGCTGGACTTGGTCCCCAGGGTCTGAGGGAGGGCAAGGCCAGGCTGTGGAATTCAGAACCTGGGGCTCCAGCATCACCGCCCCTCCCCTCCCCAGGTGACGCTGAGCTATGGCATGTTTGAAAACAAGCGCAACGCTGTCCATGTGAAAGGACCCTTCTCTGTGGAGGCCGACCCGTCTAGGTGAGCACACAAGCCGGGTGGGCTTGGCAGAGGGCCTGGCAGGACCAGCTGGGTGCCTGAAGGCCGCACCCCAGCCTACACAGACCAGCCCTCTGCTCTGTGCCCGCAGGTTCCGCTCCGTCCACTGCCGCCTGTACCCGGATACACCCTGGTGTCCACGCAACACTGTCTTTTAGAAGCCATGGCTGAGGCCCCATCCCTGGGCACCCCTGGTATCCAAAGGGCCCGGGGACCCAGGTCATGCACCCTGGCCTTGGCATTCAAGGCTCCCTGGGGCTGGGCCCGTGTGTGCCCACCCGCAGCTGACTGCTGGGCAGTCACGCCGGGTGAGGAGGGAGGGCAGGATTGCCCTTGTGCGCTTGTGCATGCTGGGCCAGCTGTGAAGTGGGGACTTTGGTAGTGAGGGGCTTGGGGGCCCTTCTGCAGGGGTGCACTCTGGTCCCATCTGGATCCCAGAGCTGTCAGTGACAGCTCTGCCCACTTCCAGGCCCAGAGCCTCGCGGTGACCCTCCAGCCTGCCAGCCGGGCTCCCCTCCCAGCCACCCTGTGTGTGTGGGAAGGGTCTTCCCGGCCCCCCACCCCCAGGTCCTGCCTTTGTCTCCCCCACAGTGGCGGGGGTGGCAGAGCCGAGCGTAGTGTCTCCTCTCCGAAGCAGAGGAGAGTTGCCCATAGTGGGCGTGGCTGTACATACTGTGACAGTATTTTTTTACTGTGCTGGGTTTTTTGTTTTTGTTCTTCTTTGGCAAGGGGGAGGATAAAAGGGTTGGGGTGGGGTGTTTGTGTGTGTGTTTGTTTTCGGGGGGGGGGTCTAATTTTCTCTTTTTTCTGTGGATCAGAAAAAGCAGAAGCCCACTTTGGGCAGGCCTTCATTTGTAAAGGTGACCCAGGAATGTCGGACACTGTATTTATGCCTTCCAGTATCTGGAACCTCCCCCCCTCTAACCCTCCCCCACCCCACCCCACCCCTGCTCTCCTCCCTGACAGCCCACAGGGCCCAGTACAGCTCCCCTAGGCTCACCGGCCTTGGAGGAGCGCATGTTGGGTTCGGTGTTTTCTTCGCAAAGATGTAGCAAGAAAGCAACTTAAGGGGAAAAAGCTCTCAGGGAATGGAAGCGTGGTTGCTATGGTGACATCTTCGCTGTGAATAAAGGCGTTCTTTGCAGAACCTGGGATCCTGGTCTTCGCTGGAAGCTGCCCCCCTCCCAGGTGCTGGGGGGCTGGGGGGTGCCCAGATGAAGGGCTGTTTGGCAGGTTTGCTCTCTGGGGGGTGGGGTGGGGGATGGGAGCAGGGGGGTAGAAGACCCTCCCTGGAATAAGTCACAGTAGCTCTTGGCTGAGAGCTGGGGCTCAGCCAGGCCAGGTGCCTCCCTCTGAGCTCCCAGAGGGGAGCATCCGGGCTGGGCAGTCTGTGCTGGCCGGGGGACAGGTACTAGGTGTTCAGACCTTCTTTCAGCAGGCCTGCTTCTGCATAGGAGGGCTGTAGTGTTCTATTCTGCACACAGGGAAACTGAGGCTCAGAGCAGGTGCTGTTCAGGGATCCTGGCAGCTGGGCTGGCAAACAGCCCGGTGGGTTCCTGTCCCTTAACACGCACACACACACACACACACAGCCAACATTGCGTGCCCTGACTTACTTAGTTTCTCTCCTCTCCAAACACCGCCCCCCCACCTCCCAGGAGTTTGGGGACCCAGGGAGGGACAAGCCACATCTGCCCCACCCCCACCCAGCAGGTGGAGCTGGCTAGGCTCAGTCTTCTGGTTTCCTAAAGAGGGCAGCTCCGTGGGGGAGGGGGGAGTCCCCACCCCTCTCCCCCTTCCTGCTGTCTAACTTCCTGTTCCCTCAGCCCCCTGCTGCCCTGTGGCTGCTCCCTACCCCCACATGGGGCCCTAAGCCTCCCTTTGTGCCTCTTCTGTGCCCTCTGCTGTTCCAAGCCTGTTGAGCACCTGCAACATGACTCAGTCTCCCCATGCTGGGCACTGGTGTGGGCCTGAGTCCAGAGAGCCCAAAGGTCAGGGGCTCAGTGGACGGATGGTACAGGCAGTGCCCAGGGCAGGAGCCGGAGAGAGGGCCCTCAGCACCATGGGGCTGACCGCCTTCCCCCAGGGCCAGCAGGACCAGTGTGCGGCACTGGTGGAGATGGCCGCCACATTGTGGGGTGACTCAGGCCCCAGCATGTGGATGAGGAAGCTGACATTGGGGGAGGCAGAATGGGGATGGGGTGCAGGCGCAGCAGTGGGCTGCTTCCTGTCTGGGTGAGTCAGGCTTCGTGCCCTTGGCCCTGGCCTCCCACCCACCCCCTGTCTGGCATCGGCCTCTCCCTAGACCTAGAGCTAGCCTAGTCGGAGATGAGTCGTGGCAGGGCCCATGGCCAGGTCAGTCCCGTGGCCACGCGATGTGGGCCTGGTGTGAGCTGGGGGAGCCCCAGCCGGGCCATCTGAGAACTGGGAACTGGTAGTGCCGCTGCTGTCTGCAGGGCTGGGGGTGGGGCTTCCCGGGAAGAGGCCGGGGGAAGTTCTATTTCACCAGGGGAGGAAGTGAGGGGGGGTACTGGGGGAGGGAGGCAGCTGTGCCCCATTCACTGATGGTACCTTGTCCTTCCTCCCCTCGCCTCCAGCCAGCGCCCCCTGCCCCCCCCCCCCCACAAGCTACCAGTCTTAGTCTGTTGGGCTTTCAAAAGTCAAACCACAACCTAAAGGTGACAGAACGCAGCCTCCACACCCAGCTTCCATCCTCGTTGGTTCTGGCCGCCAGAGCAGGCTGAGCAAGCAGGTTTTGGGGGAGGGTGAAAAGGAACTTCTCTGCCGGGTATGGGCTGTGGGGTCATCAGGGCTGACTTCCTGGAAGAGGCTCCCTTGGCTGTGCGGGAACAGGGTGAGGGGAAAAGGAGGGTAGTTGAGCTGAGCTCAGTGCACGCAGGCCAAGGCGAGGGGCATGGGCAACAACGCGGAGACTCCGTGACCTGTGTCCTCATAACTCCTCAAACCCAGCTGGCAACTGTGGCTGTTCTTGAATGCCCACGTGACAGGCCAGGCCCCGCTGGGTAGCTTTAGCTGGGGGCCAGGCTCTTCTGCAGGCCTGGGGTCCCAGAAGCCATGACCAGACCCATCTTTTTGCCTGTCAAGAGGTGAGCCAGGAGAAGGGAGCCAGTTGCTCACACGTGTTATCCTAGCTACTCAGGAGGCTGAGATCTGAGGATTGTGGTTCAAAGCCAGCCCGGGCAGGAAAATCCACGAGACTCTTTATCTCCAATAAACTGGAAAACTGGAAGTGGCACTGTGACTCAAGTGGTAGAGCACTCACCTTGAGCTGAAGAGCTGAGGGACAGCATCCAGGTCCAGAGTTCAAGCCCCACGGCCACCACCAACAACAGAAAAAGTGAGGCAGGCCTGCCGGCCCCCACCCCAGCATTTCTGTCCTCCCAGCCTTGATTGTTGCCTGAGTCCAGGGCCACACACACAAGAAAGGCGTTTGTGGAGCTGGGAGCCAGGGGCTCAGTTCAAAGCCAGACCAGGCAGGAAACTCAGTGAAACTCTTACCTCCAATTAGCCACCAAAAAGCTGGAAGTGGGGCTGTGGCTCAAGTAGTAGAGCATTAGCCTTGAGTACAAAAGCTCAGGGACAGCACCCAGGCCCTGAGTTCAAGCCCTAGGACGGGTACACAGAAAAATAATGCTTGTGCACTCCTTGGAAGGACCCCATGACCAGTAGGCCATCCCCATCTTGGCCCTTCGAAATCGTTCAGATGTTGGCGTGGGGTCTGGAGGTGCGGCTCCCCTGGGTTAACTCCCCTACCATCCCTATCCAGGCCCCCTCCTATGCCACTCAACAAAGTCCTTGGGCGCCATCTGGTGGTGACAACTGACAGCTCCCAGTGGGCCTCCCTTTTCTGGATCAAGGACTGGGGAGGAAAGGGGACTGTGCTTGAGCCTCAAGGCTTCACAGCAGCACCGGGGACATGCTAACATCCATTTCATGTAACACGGGGTGCTATGGAACATCAGGCTGAACAGCAGCTTTAGGGCGTCCCATGACTTTCTCCTGCCACTTCTGTCCCCTCCCCCAGCTCTGGGTCATAGGATCCAAGAGCCAGGTGCCTGGTGACCCTCCCCATGTCCCTCTTTTCCAGTCACTGGGGAGGGGGGGCGGGGAGGGGAACGTGGGGAGGGATCTTTTTTTTTGTCGGTCGTGGGGCTTGAACTCTGGGCCTGGGCGCTGTCCCTCAGCTCTTCAGCTCAAGGCGAGCGCTCTACCACTTGAGCTACAGTGCCACTTCCGGTTTTCTGGTGGTTTATTGGAGATAGGAGTCTCACTGTCTCTCCTGCCCGGGCTGGCTTTGAACCGCGATCCTCAGATCTCAGCCTCCTAAGTAGCTAGGATTACAGGCGTGAGCCACCAGCGCCCGGCTCATGGGGAGGGATCTTGCAAAACAGGTTAGTGGTCAGGTTGGCTGCAGGTCTCTTCTCTGAAGATCCAGCGCCCCCTGCCAGGCATTTGCTACCCTGGTCCTCACACTGCACCTCTAGACCCACTTTCACAGCGCTTCCAGCTCCTCCCCATCCTTCCCTCCTGCGGGGGCCTCTCAGGACACCTGTGACTCCTGGCTGCTCCTTCCCCCACTGCCTCCCGTGACCATTCTTGCAGACTTTGATGTCTAGGACCCTCCCACACTTGATCCCCATCTCAACAGTCACTGCCTAGGCCTTGCCTGCACCCTGCACTGCAGCTGCAGCCTTCCATCCTCCCTGGCTCAAAGGATCATAGATACTTCCACCTGCAGGCTCCCCACTGGAGTATCCAGCATCCAGGGTTCAACCACAGCTTCAGCTCTTCAGCTCACCACCTCCCCCCACTCTTCCAGGCTGCAGCTAGGCCCCCACCACTTACTTTGCATGTGACTGGGAAAAAGCAGCTATGGCCCCCAGGCTGGTCTTCCTTGGAAGTCCCAGACCCTGGACCTCAAGGGATCTCAGGAGACCCCCTTCTCTGCCCCACTCCTGCAGCCTTAAATCTCTTTGCTGTCTAACAGCCTTGCCTCAGATCTCTTGTAGCAGACACAGAGCCTTCCCGCAGTCCACGCCCACAGCTGCCAGCCCCTCTCACTTTGCCCTGGACCCCATCTCCTTCATCCATTCTCCTCTGCTGGCTAGTCCCAGTAGCTTGCAAGATCCTATTTCTCTTCCAACTTGTACACACACATGTGCACATACATATACCCACACGCATGCATATGCACACATACACACAGGTGGATCTGGCATACTCAAAACAGTCCCCCCAAGAGACCCAGGAGGGTCACAGCCCAGCTGAAGTTCATGGCTGCATCCAAGCATCTGCAAGCATGTCTGCTTAGCTGTTGCTAGTGGTCCAGCCCTGGTTAGGAGCCAGATACAGACAGAACTGAGGTCAGAAGGGGCAGGAGGTGCCTGGACGTTTCCTCATGGCCTCTGGCTCTCACTCCAGGTCTGAGGTCCTCTTGTTTTATTTCCTTGCCAGTCGTGGGGCCTGAACTCTGGGCCTGGGCGCTGTCCCTCAGCTCTTCAACTCAAGGATAGCACTCTACCTCTTGAGCCACAGCGCCACTTCTGGCTTTTTTTTTTTTCCTGCTTATGTGGTGCTGAGGTATCAAACCCAGGGCCTCATGCATGCCAGGCAAGCACTCTACCACTGAGCCACTTCCCAGCCTCAGGTCCTTTTTTTTTTTTTTTTTAAAAAAAAAAAGGACAAGTCCCCTAGGCTGCTGGGCACCAGTGGATGATCACACCTAGTTACTTGGGAGGCTGAGATCTGAGGATTGTGGTTCAAGGCTAGCCTGGACAGGAAAATCCACGAGACTCTTCTCTCTGATTACCAAAAAGCCAGAAGCGGGGCTGTGGCTCAAGTGATCAGAGCACAAGCCTTGAGCACAAGAGCTCAAGATCAGCACGAGTTCAAGCCTCAGGACTGGCACACACAGTAGGCCATGTTACCCAGGCCACTCTATCCATGGAAGCCTGGAGCCTTAAGGGCACCCCACTCCACGCCCCTCCTCCCACCTCCTCAGGTCGCTTGTCTGGAGCAGCTGAGCTGGAAAGCGGTGGAAAGGGCTGCTGGGCACTGGGGACAGGAGAGGGCGCTGCTCCAGGACCTCCACAGGTGCCCACTTGTGCCCCAAGCTGGATGTCAGGTGTGTCTGCCCCCCATCCCTCTGTGCACCCAGTTTGGGACACAGCTGGCCGAGGCAGCTCCCCCCAACTCCTGATATCTCCCCAGGAGGCAAGGACCATCACAGGGCTGCAGGTAAGGCAGCTTAGCTTCTAAGAGGAAACCCAAACTCCAGCCCCATGGTGGTACAGGTCCCTCGTGACTGCCAGGAGTGACAGCAGGGGGAACCAAGTCTCAGGATCTGGGGGCTGCAGCCCTGTCCTGAAGACCCCAAGCCTCCCTCAACCTGTCTACCTATCAACCACGTGGACCCCCCAACCGTTGGGTAGGTGGGGCACACTGCAGGGAATGCCTTCCAACCCACCCACCCAACCAGTCAGCCCCTGCCTGTGGCCACCCTGCATGCTGCCAGGGGCCTCCACACCCCAGAAAAAAAGACGCCGTTTTTCAAAATCCTTTTATTTTAAAACATGAAACCCAAGCTGAATAGAAACCACAGAAATTACATGGACAAGATTTTTTTTTCTTTTTTAGTATTTGCCAAGAAAAATAAAGTCCCCCCAAGAAATAAAATCCACCCCCCTCCCCAGTCTTACAAAACAAAAACACGGCGACAGGACACAGCCAAGGCCCTGCGGAGGCTGGAGGGGCACGCGGGACCGGCGCTCCGGTGTTAGTTCACACGTAGTTAAGATGCAGGGTGGAGGGGGCGGGGAGGCCAGTCTGAATGAATCCGTATGTATAACACATAGACGGGCATGGCACACAACCATTATGGTTAAACACAAAAATGCCCACAGAGGGCCCTGGTCATCTGGTCCTCCTGGCTGGGCTGGGCAGGTTTGGGGAGGGGGTTGCATAGTGAGGTGGATGGAAGTCACCAGGAAAAGGGGGTTCAAGGCTGACACCCCAACCAGACCCTCCACTTCCTAAACCTTGCCCCGCCTAAACCTGGGGAAATGGACCCCTGCAGAGCACCCAAGAGCCTGCCCTGCTGGGCGGGGCACCACCTGATGGCTGAGTGCGCTTGGCCTCCCTGTCCCCAGCCATCAGGTCTCTGGGGTCTCAGGGCAGGGTCCCATCACGGGGCAGCTGGCCCCAACCTGCTGCCTGAGGGAAGGTCACTGGGAAGGGAGGCAAATGGTTCCCAAAACTCAGAAAAGGAGACCAGGGGGCAAAGTGGCTCCCCTCCATGGGCAGTGGAGTACGAACCCCTTCACTTGGCCCTCTCCCCTGGCGAGCCTCCCTGAGGAAGCTCATGGCCGGGCATGTGGGCACACGATGTCTGGGCAGCACCGGCCTCTCGTGCTATGTGCATTCAACTGTGGGCAGCGTGTGCTTCGGTGCTGCTGAGGCGGGCACCCAGGCGGGCACAGCCTTGGCCAGGAACGTGCCCTCGGCAGGCAGAGCTCCGAGGAATGCCTGGTTCCTGGAGTGAGGCCAGGAACTCGGGGTGCTCCCCTAAGGCTCAGGGCTGACGCCCAGTCCCCACGCCCCTGCCCACCCCCTTTTTGGTCCGACACCAGCAGAGAAGGGTTTGGAAGGCAGAGCAGGGCAGTCTCAGCCCAGGGAGGGGTGAGGCCGGTCCTGCGGCTGCGCCGCTGCCCTGCTCTGCTACTCCAGGAGGGAGCAACAGGTCTGTCTGTAAACTGCCTCCTGCCACAGGGTCCCTGTGGCCCACTGGACACACCTGGCCCTGGCCTCGCCGTCCTGGCTGGCCAGGGCTCCGTCCACGTGGTGACTTGTGGCTCGCAGCCACCATGGCAGGAAGCACAGCAAACATTGTACACTGACACCAAAAGCACCTTAGGGGAGCCTGTCCCCCGCTTCACAGGAAGGGTGCCTGAGGCTGCATCTGCCCAGGGAGGGAGGGGTCTCCAGGCCCTCCGGACAGCCTGTAGGCCTGCAGTCCCTCCCAACAGCACCCCTTGAGGAAAGAGCCCCTTCCACCCAGGTTCCCAGCCGCAGGGCTGGATGCAGGCTCCGGGCCGGACGCAGGGTCAAACTCGCGGGCTCTCGTGCCCAGCGGGCTGGTGGAGGCTGGGAGTGAGGTTAGTGGTTAGTCCCCAGACGGGCTTCAGGGGCTGGGGGCGCTTTCACAGACTGTTTGGATCCCATCCCCAGGCTGGGCTCCAGGGACACGGCACCTGTCCTGGGTGGAAATGGGACGGAGGAGGGGGAGGGGCGGCGTCCAGCTCAGCCCTCGCCCGCCTGCACTAGAGATGATGAACATGGTTAGTGCAAAAAACGAACCCGACGAAGCTGCCAAGTCTTTGGGAGGGGGAAGGGATTTGGCACCAAGAGGGCAGCCAGCACTGGAAGGCCAGTGAGGGAGCTGCACTGGGCAAGTGCATCTGCTGTCCTGGCAGTGCTGGGCCAGCGGGGGGGGGCGGGGCGGGGCGGAGAGGGGGCCTCTCTGGAGGCTTGGGAGCTGGAGGGAGAAGCAAAGCCAGGACTGAGCGCGGCTGGACGTGGTCAGGCAGGCGCTGGATGCTGCAGAAAGACGCGCGCATTGGGGCAGACGAGTGGGAGGGTGTGGGCCTGTCCCTCGGTTGCCAGCAATGCCAGGCAGGGGTTTCCTGTGAATGAAGATGTGACCCCAGGGATACAGGGTCAGCGCAGGTGCCAGTGCCATCAGGGGAGTCCAAGAGCCGCGGGGGGGGGGTGGCAGAGCGGGCAGGAGAGGCCAGGGCTGTGATGCGGAGTCTGGAGGGCCACCTGCAGAAGGCGCACATGAGCACAGAAGCACCTGGCACAGAGCGGGGCTCAGTAAGTCCAAGAGAGTGGAAGGACACGGGAGAAGGCCAGGCAGGGCCAGGGCATGGTGGCAGCGTCTATCTTGTGACCCAGGCAGGGATGGGGGTCCAGAGCGCCCTGCAGGGAGAGGGGGGAGGGGCGGGCTCCGGCGGCCTCGGTGGCAGCAGTGCTGGCTCAGGAGGGGTGGGTGGGTGGCACGGGGCAGGTGGCGCGAGGCGGGCGTCGGGCGTCTAGTGCGCACTGCTGCTGGAGTCGGGGCGAGGCTGGCTCGTGGCGAGGTATTTGGCTCTCATGCTGGACGTGTACTGAGGAGAAAGGAGCGCGTCAGCGAGGCGCGGGGTGCCGTGAGCCAGGCCGACCCTAGGAAGACTGCCAGAGCGCAGTGCCCCGTGCCCGTTGGCAGAGCCCTAGGGCAGAGGGTCCAGGAAGAGCCCGCTGGCCCTCAGCCTGCACCCGGCGGAGAGCAGTCATCTGCAGCTCCCAGGGCCCCACCAGGACCAGCATCAAGCATCTAGACAGAGCCCTGCCAGCCCTGCAAGGCCCTCACTCCACCTGGGACCTGAATGCCCTTCCAGGCTGCCCACCAGCCTCCGCCACAGACACTCGGCCCAGCTGGAGTGACTGCTGCCCACACAAGCAGGGCCCCACTCGGGCTGTGGCTCAGGGAGGTTGCAGCCTGCACCCTTCAGCAGGAATGGGAAGGGTTCCGTGAGTGTGCGCATGTGTGTGTGCGAGTACATGTGTGTGTGTGCGTGACTGAGAGTGCACATGCAATGCATGTGGGTGAGTGCACGTAAGTATGTATGCATGTGTGCGCACATGCATGTAAGTGAATGCATGTGTGTGCGCTGGAGGACATACAGGTGGATAAAGCCTATACTAAAGCTGGGCAGTAGTGAAGAATTCACATGCCCTTGGCGAGGGGAAAGGCCCAGGCTGGTCCTGGGTCACCAGCGGTCAGAGCGCTCGACAGGCTGGCCTTATCTATCTCAGGTGGGCTCCCAACACCCCAGACTCCAGGCTGCTCCTGTAGCCCCCTGAGCAGTGTGCCGATGTGCCCCAGGTCCCTGGCAGCCCTCTGGGGCACTAGAAGGTTGCAAGCAGCCCATGAGCCATGGAGCAGGGAGGAGCGGGAGAGGAGGGCGGGCCGGGGAGTCATGTCATTCCATGGACATGCAGCAGTGACAGGGGACACGGGGGGTAGGACAGCTGGTGGAATGGGACAGTGGGTGGCAGCAACCCTTGAACAGGGATGGTGGGAGGAGCGTGCACGCTCATCTGCACACCTGTGTGCACAGGCCCACCTGCAGTGCTGCACCAGAACCGCCCCTTGGGCTGGGATCCATGCTTAAGCCCCGGAGGAGCTCTCCGGCTGCAGTGGACGTGGCCCTCCCAGGGCAGAGGGAGGGGGGCAGGGAGGCCGGGCAGGGGCAGGAGTGGAGGCAGGGAAACCTGGCGCGGGCTCACTGCTGCACTGAGACCATGGGCTTGGGCCCACGCCTGAGGTCTCTGGCTGTGCTGGACTGTCGGCACTGGACCTGGCACAGTGGGGCCTGAAGTCAGCCATGGTGGGGGGCAGTGGTGAGCGGAGGGTGCGAGGCATGGAGGCGCAGGCGGTGGCCGTGCGGGGCAGGGGGGGGACTGGGTGTGTCAGTACCTGTCACTCTGAGGGCACAGCTACCACAGCGTTCGGGCACTGTCCATGGGTTTAAATTGCCAGCCCGTGTGGCTGCCAGAGTCCAAGGCAGCCAGATAGCGCTAGGAGGGCCCGGGGTGGGAGGGGTGCAGGAGAGAGAGAGAGAGAGGAGGCGTCCTCAACGCTAGGGCGCGGCGGCCGCAGGAGACGGTGGGACAGAGGGGCCGAGGGAGGGCGGCTGGGTGGTGCTGACAGGTGCCTGCAGCCTGGCATGGCCTCTGGGCCTACCAGGCCCTGGTACAGGTCCTGAGCCCAGGCAGCAGCCACTGTACTGTAGGCAACTGTGCTTCTGAAGCAAGATGGCCTCCTACAGCCCCTCAGCCTGTCTTGCAGCCCACTTCCCTGGAAGCCGGGCTCTGCCGGCTCCTCTTTGGCACCAAGTTCACCCTGTCCCCTCGTGTCTGTGCCAATCTCAAGGCCCAGGCTGCAAGAGCCAGGGCTGAGGCACCCAGGCAAAGGAAAGAAAGGAAGCCAGGCCCACCCTGGGCAGTCCAGCGTGAAGGCAAGAAAGCGGGGAGCCCCTGCGGTGCGGCTGAGGGAGAGCGATGCTCTGCCCTCTCTCCCCGGCTCCCCAAGGCTGGTGAGAACCAGGATCCCCCTAGGTGCACCTGCTTCAGACGCCTCGGCTGGTGACTCCCCCGTGGTCACGGCGACCCCAGAGAGCACCAGCAGACCCCCCGGAAGGCCAGGGCCCCCCCACCTCCTGTCCTGGACTTACTGAGGGCGGTGGGGACTCGCGCCCAATGAGAGGGGTGTTCTCACAGCGGGGATTCTGGAAATTGGCATTCTGGCTCCTGAGGCGAGAGGGGAGAGAGCGACAGTGAGTGACCACTGGCCAGGGGGCCCATCTATGAGAGGTCCCTGTGACTGCCCGGCCCCGGCTCTGCCTGGCACCTGATCTAACTCCACAGACTGGCACCACTGCTCTCACTAGGGTCTGTGAGCCCAGAAGAGTCACATGGGCTGAGTAGCCTCCAGTGCCCACCCGGAACCCACCTATGCCCTGGCTGCCTGCCCACCCACAGGGCCGCAAGGCCATCCCATGGGAGCCAGGCCCCGCCTCGGCCTCTCCTTCCTGCCGCCTGGCAGGGCCCGCTGTCCCCTGGGCTCCCCGGGACCCACATGTACTCACATGTACTCGGTGACCGGGGCGTTGCTGACCGTGTGCGCAGCGGCTGGGATGCTGGCCTCGCTGCCGTAGCTGCTCCCACAGCTGTAGAGGCTGGGCATGTGGACGCGGTACAGGCTGTCCTGTGCCTGCCGCTGCCCCGGGGCCGCCTCCTCCTCCCCGTCTTCCTCAGGGCCCCTGTGAGAAGGCCAGGATGCATGCTCAGTGTCATAGGATGAAGCTGGCCATGGCCCATGGGTGGCGCTGATGTGGACATGGGCTCCAGGCCTAGCTGTTCACATTGAGGAACTAGTCCAGTAGCCGTGGCCTTTGAGCGGGTGCTAAGAGACCACCCGGTGTGTCCTACCCTGGGCCCTGTCCCACCATCGGCATGCTGAAAGCAGCGTGCAAACACCCCAAATCCCTGAGCACAGAGGCTATGCTGCTCCCCTTTGGCTCTGTGGCCAGGCCCTGCCACGCTGGCACCCTCCTGTCCTGATAGGACGCAGGGCTGGGCTGCAGGCAGGACGCACCTCAGGGGTGGCGCAGTGCCCTCACCTGTGGCGGATCACCTGGCCCTGGTGTGTCCTTTTACAGCCCCCCCCCTTTTATAGTCAGGGACATCAAAGCCAGGTGGCTAAGTAACTTTCCCAGCCCCACTATCAGCAAGGTAGAGCCAGGATCTGAATCCAGCCGCAGGCTTCCAGAGCTGGGCTCTTACCGCCCTTCCTCCTCACCACTGCCAGCACCTCAGCACATCACTCCTGCTCAGTACCATCAAATACCACAGCACTGCTATCACTGCCGCCATCCCTGCCACACCACCACCACCGTTACCACCCACCCCCAGCTTCATCCCAATCACCACAAGCTCCACAACAAGTATCACCAAGAAACAATCCAGGCCAAGGGAGGTCCCAGACAGAGCAAAGAGGCAGGAGGGAGACAAAGAGAGATTCAAATAGGGAAGGAAGACATCATACCAGCTGGGAGCCAGTGGTTCATACCTGTAGTCCTAGCTACTTAGGAGGCTGAGATCTGAGGATGGAGGTTCAAAGCCAACCCAGGCAAGAAAGTCCTTGACACTCTTATCTCCAATAAACCACTCAGAAAGCCGGAAGTGGTGCTGTGGCTCAAGTGGTAGAGTGCTAGGCTTGAGCTGAAAAGCTCCGAGACAGCGCCCAGGCCCAGAGTTCAAGCACCATGAACAATTAAAAAAAAGAGTCAAACCATCTCTCTTGACAGATGATTTGTTCCTGGATTTAACAGCCCAACCCTGCAGATGCCACAAAACCTTCCAGATCTGATAGACACTTTTGGTAACAGAGGAGAAAATAAAACCAACACTGAGAAATCCCTCACACCTGCCATTCTAACTACTCAGGAGGCTGAGATATGAGGATCGCAATTTGAAGCTAGTCCAGACAGGAAAGTTTGTGAGACTCTTATTTCCAATTAACCCCCCAAAAGCCAGAAATGGAGCTGTGACTCAAGTGGTAGAGCACTTGCCTTGAGCTGAAGAGCTCAGGGACAGTGCCTAGGCCCAGAGTTTAAACCCCACAATTGACAACAACAAAAAAAATTGCATTCTCAATAACTTCAAAAACACTAAAAATACCTTGGTACAACGTAAGCAAGGAAGTGAAAGATCTCTACAATGAAAACTGTAAAATCTTAAAGAGACTGAAGAAAATGCTAGAAGATGGAAGGACCTCCATGCTCACAGATGGGCAGACACCATGAAATCAGCAATACTTCCAAAAATAATCTACAAAGTCAACGCAATACCCACCAAAGTCCCAATGTTATGTTTTACAAAAACAGAAAACCCAACCCAAGGGCTAGGTGCTGGTGGCTCATGCCTGTAATCCTAGCTACTCAGGAGGCTGAGATCTGAAGATCCAGTTTGAAGCCAGACTGAGTAAGAAAGTCCTTGAGACTCTAATCTCCAATTAAGCATCAGAGAACCAGAAGTGGTACTGTGGCTAAAAGTGATAGAGCGCTGGCCTGAGCAAAAGAGCTCAGGGATAGTGCCCAGGCCACGAGTTCAAGCCTTGTGCCTAACCAAGAAATAAAATAAAAGATAAAAGAAATGAAAAACCAATCCAAAAATTCATATGGAAGCATAAAAAGATCGCAAATAGCAAGCACAATCCTGCATAGAAAGATTGTGGCAGGGCCACGGGGCCACTGTGGCCAGGCACAGAGGCAGAAATCTCTGACTCGACTGTACTATAGAGCCGCGGTGACAATGCTGTGCGACGGATGGAATTGGCCTGGAGCTATTGGCGCCATGCTGGGCTACAAGCAGCAGCCTACATGGGAAGGGAGACAGAAAAAGTCAGGAAGCTGGGTACGGGGCCCTCAGAAAAGGAGTCTGCACTCCCACACTCCAACTTCCAAGTTAATATTCTGGTTCCCACCAGGCCATGGCTGCCAGATGACCCCCCTGTGGAAGCTGAGCCCACACAGCGTCCTCCCAGCCTGAGCTCTGCAGGCCTGCACTGGGGCAGGCAAGGCTGGCCTGGGAGTTCTTCTAGACTGTTTCTTCTCTTCTCATCTGGGACTGCCAGACTCTGAGGTGCTAGAGACCCAGACAGTGAACACACAAGGATGTGTTTTTCTGTCTCCTCTGGGGACTAGGCTGCCCCCTCCTGGACGTATGGGGGCTCACCTCTTCTGCTGCCAGGTGTGGGGAATGCTGCAGACGATGGAGCTGAACATGAGAGCCGTGACGAAGGAGAAGAGAGCCAGGTAGATGAGGCCCTCCACGCCGTCGTAGCAGAAGCCCATCAGCGCCTGCACGTAGTCCTGGCCGGCATGGGCGAGGCACCACGCCAGAGATGGGAGAAAGAACGTTAGAGGCAGGCAGCTGAGGCCGGCCTGCAAGGCCCATGCCTGGCCACCGTGGCCTCCTGGCCCTGCCTCAGAGTTGGGCTACCCCTCCCCAGCAGCATCCCCCTCCTCTCCCCACAGTGGTCCTCACCAGGTGCAGGCTGCGGCAGTCCACCAGGGCTGTGAGGTGCTGGAGGTTCACTTCTGTGCCGTTCAGCACCTCCTGGACTCGGAGCAGGTGGTCCTGGGGAGCAGGCACCACGTGAGGTCAGTGCCATGTCTCCTGCTAAGTCTCCGAGCCACCCCTTAGCCTGTAACCTGCTGCTAAGCCTCCAAGCCACCCCTTAACCTGTAACCTGCTGCTAAGCCTCCAAGCGACTCCTCTAGCCTGTAACCTGCTGCCGAGGCCACCTGACCCCAGCCTCAAGCACAGGCCCTGAGGACCCTGGGCCTTCAGAATTGGCAATCAGTTGGGTATAGTGGTGTACACCTGTAATCCCCGTTATTCTGAAAGCAGAGGTAGGAAGGACGATTGAAGCCTAGGCAAAACCCTATCTTAGCGACAAGCTAAAAAAAAAAAAAAAAGCAAAAGTACTAAAGGTGTGGCTCAAGATGTGGCAGCCTTAGGGGACACAGAGAAGGGAGATCTCACCCACAGTGCATTCAGATGCCACTGTATGTGTACATGTGTGTGTGCAGCCCAGGTGTGCACATATGCACACATGTACAGAGACAACCATGGAGACATGGCCCAGCCCCTCCGGGCTGATACAGCTCCGGCTGGGCAAGTGATGGATGCCGGGCTGCCAGCAGCAGCACAGATTCTAAGCACCACTGTGATCCTCCAATGGTTTCAGGAAGACGGAGCTTCCTGTCACCAGCAAAGAGTGGCCTAAAACCCATGCGCTGAAGCCCCATCCCAGAGCCCTACTGTTCAGAGGTTGGTGGGAGGGAGTGGAATCCTCATAAGGAAAGATCAGAATGCAGCTGCACAGGGGATGGCCTAAGGACACGGGAGGCCAGTGTTCGTGGGCCCAGACTGGTGCGCCCACCCACCCACAAGGCAAAGCATAAAATCAAAGCAAAGAACCTGCTGGCTGGCTTTTTTTTTTTTTAATGGCAAGCACTGGGGTTTGAACTCAGGGCATCACACTTGCTAGGCAGGAGGGTCTGCCACTTGAGACAACTCCCAGCCATTTTTTTGCATTAGTTTTTTCTCAAGTAGGATCTCCCCTAACCTGGGGAGGAGGGGCAGCCAAGACTGGGAGCCTATTTACACTGGCTCACTTGGTTGACTGAAATTATTGCCTGGGCTGGCCTGGAACTTGATCTTCCAGATCTCTGCTTCCCAAGTAGCTGGTGTTACAGGCATGTACCACTAGCCTGGTTTGTTGTTTGTTTGTGAAGTTTCACAGAGAAAACTCTGCTGTTTCCCCTGGGGCAGAGCCCATGAGACTTGCTCTCTGCTATCCCTGGAACCAGGCACTGCCTGCCGGGACCCTAGGGAGATTTTGGGGGCCTAGGCCTGTTAGATGCCAAATGCCACCTAAAAGCTGGTCTTTTATTTTCTATGTAAAGAGTCTGTAAGATTTTCAATATAACCAGCACCATCCTCTTTAAGGGCCTACCAGAAATCCCCAGGAAAAAGAATGGGAGGGAAAGGTGGAGGAGCAATCAGGGCACCCTGCCCAACAATGCCTCACCCTATCAGGATGCTCTACTGACCCCACCTAATCAGGGTACGCTACCCCACAACCCCTCATCCAATCAGGATGCCTCTTCTGCAGCCCTTCACCCAATCAGGGTGCCCCACCCTCCGTCTCCTCAGCCAATCAGGGCACCCTAACCCATAGTCCCTCACCCAGGCAGGGTGACCTGCTCCCCCAGCTCCTCACCTTGGAGGCTGGGTTTTCCCGAGTGACACTCTTCAGCAGCTCGGCAACAATGTCCTGCATCTCCACCAGCGCCTTGTGGCTACCCGACAGCTTCTGCTCCACAGAAAGGCTTGGCTTTGAGTGGCTGAGCCACCATGTCACTCGTCCCACCCCCTCCTGCACACGGGCAGCTGCGAGGGCACTCTTGTTCCCCCCGCAGTCTCCGCACTAGAGACCCCCGCAGCAGTGCCCGAGAGCGAATGGGCATCCTCAATACTTTTGCAACTTTTGCATCAAGCTCTGGCTGGCCTCCAGTTCCCAAATCCCACTTGCTGGTATTACAGGAATGCACCACTAAGCCTAGCCTAGACAAGTAAGTTTTAAAGACCCTCAGGGCCATACAATCTCAGGAGCACGATAGGCTGAGGGCAAAGGGAGTGACTAGTCAGGGCTGCCAACCCCTTCCAATGGGCACCTGCTCAAAGGCTTCCCGGGACTCCTCCCGTATCTGCCTGTGCTCAGTGGTCAGCTCTGTCTCTGTCCCCTTAGGAAGGAAAGGAGCCATGCCAGGGAGGCAGTGGCATCAAGCAGGTCACTAGGGTAGCAAGTATAGGGCAGTGAGTGACACACCATCCACCCAGAATTCTGGCTGTGTGGGCTTGGAGACAGAGCAGGGCCTGCCCCACCTCCCCATGGACAAGTGCTTTGGCCTCTCTGTATGTCCCCTGCACCCAAGCCCCAGACTAGCCCACCTCTCACCTGCTGGAAGGGGTTGGCGGCACGGGGTGAGCAGGCCAGGTAGTACTGCAGGATGTCTGCAGAGACAGGGGGAGCGGGATGAGGGGCGGCCAGTGTATGTGTGTCTGCGTGCAAGTACAGGTCTGCATGCGTGCATGCCTCCTGTGCTAGCACGTGTGTGCATGTGTGTGAGGAGGAGCAGTGTCCTGGGGGACAGATGTGTACCACCACCACAACCAGACTCAGAAAAAGCCTTTAGAAGGATGCTGCATCCTGGCTCACGCCTGCCCTTTCCCTGTCTAAAGGCTTCCTCCACAGAGCAAAGCCCTGACGCCCAGGACCAGGTCCTGCTGCCCTTCCACCCTCTCCTGGCCCAGCTGGTCGATCTGCTTCCTCACAAGCACTGCATGGGAGGCTGTCTCAATGACTCCCGTGCGGCACGCAGGGCATCACGGCCTGGCTACTCACCCCCACTCAGCACAGTGTACTCGTCCACCACCTTGGTCACGTAGGTGTCAGGGCTCACGCAGAAGTCACTGGAGCCCTGTGGTGCATACAGGCAGGGAGGGGGTGACCAAGCTGGGCCTCAGAGGGAATCTGTACCCACCCTAGGCTACAAACTGACCCTGGGAAGGGGGTACAAACTGACCCCAGGGTCTGTGAATCTAGGGACATGGATGGGCAGTACCCAGGAGTGTGGTTCCCCTCCCCTAACACCACGGCCCAACAGACAGGGACTGCTGGTCCCCCAGCCACTCACCACAGACACAGCCAGCTCCAAGCCCAGTGCACCCCAGCTGATGACCAGGGCCAGGACCCCCAGCAAGCAGACCCTTGAGGCAGAGAAGAGCAGTTAGCAGCCCCCAGGCTGGGGGAAAGGGACACGCCACACCCTGGGCTGTAGGAGAGGGTGCCAGGCTCTTGAACACATCTGGGGGTCTGGATCACAGGGACTGTGGCTTTTCCAGTGGCCTGCTCTGTCACAGATGCCTCAGGCTCAATGCCTGGGCAGTACCAGGCTGGGGCACGGCCTGGCCAGCTCAACACTGGGGCTGCAGGGTGGGCTTGGACTTGGCTAAAGACCAGGTAACTCTGTGGGTTTCACCGCCCTGTCCTCCAGCTTTCCCTGGGGTCTTCTCTTCACTAGACCTCCTCTCTGCTTTCATCTCACTGAGGCCCAACGAGCGTGAGCCTCAGGGGCTCACTGACCTGGGCCAGACCAGGATCTCCAACACTGCTGGACCTCACCCAGAGCCCCAAGATTTGTGGGATCAGTTCTTCACCGCTACCACCTTCTAGTTCCCTTTAGTCCAGCCAGAGAGGCCTTCTGAGCCCCTCTGCCGCCCAGTTCCTCTGCAGACCTACAAACTAGCCACTTAGCATCCTTCCACGTTCTCCATTTTGGAGCTCTTAGGTGAGACATGCAAATTGTAGACAGCTGTGCTGCCCGCCCTGCCATCCCTGCTTCTTCTCCTCCAGGGTGTTGTCACCTGACCTTCTGTACAGCTGGCCACTCATCCTTCGCTCAGCTACACACGGCAGGGCCTGGGGGGTTCTCTGGACTCTCCGAGAGCCTGGGAGGTGGCTATGCAGGTGTTCAGCACTTAACTGCTGTGGGCAAGCTGTCACTCCTGCCGTCTTACAGAGGAGGAGACAGGGGACCTCCATAGCTTACTGTGCCACCTGCCCCATCCCAGCAGCGCAGGGGCAGCAGAGCAGGGATGGAGGCCTGGGGGAGTCCCTCAGTACCTGGGGCCCTGGGAAGGTGGTAGACTCTCAGAGTCTCCCAGGGAAGGAACCCAACGGGCAGCTGAGCTGAGCCCAGTCTGCAGCAAGTGGCCAGCGAGGCAGGCTATGGCCTGGGCTCTGCAAGGATGTCTTAGAGTAGCCCCCTCCACAAGAACCCCCTCCTCAGGCAGTGTGGGGTCACACTTCAGACCACAGAGCTGATGGGGGTGACTGTGTGCCAGTGCCTCACCCTGCCCCTCTGCCTTGCGGCCCACAGGTGCCCCTAGACTCACCCGACCAGAATGCCCTTGGAGCTTCGGATGAGGCCCACCAGCACCAGGAGGCAGATGATCACATCGAGCAACAGCAGGCCCAGGTAGCCCAGCCACCTGTCGGCACACAGGGCGTGGGCAGGTACAGAGGGGGACTGGATGGTGGGGTCAGGCTGGGTGGCCAGGAAGGGCATTCACAGGAAACTGGGACCTGGGGCCTGGCATCCACTGTCAGAGACCTCCAGCTGTGCTGCCCACCACCCATTATGTCTCAGGTACTAACTAGGTGCTGAGGACGCCTCGTGGCCCAGGCGCAGTGAGCCATCCAGGGAGGACGGGAACCCCGGCGCACCTGTACCAGTCGTAGAGATCCACCTGCTCGGCCAGAGCCTCCAGCGACACGCCGGGGTTCCTCCAAAAGGGAATGGCCGCTGTGTAGCCCTGCAGCGTCTCCAGCAAGCCCTGCAGCCGCTGCACAGCTCTCAGGGGTTCAGGCCTCCCGGCCATTTGCCGTGCCAGGCTCTGCAGGCTGGGCTCTGCCGTGCGGTTCAGGGCTGCCACAGTGTCCCACACCTGCGGGGGACCAGCCGCAGTTGAGGCCAGGAGCCCAGGCTGGAACGGAGGCCTGGCACGGGGAAGATGCCGCCACCCCCAAACCCTAACCCTGCAGCCACTCACGCGGTCCTCGACCCCTGACACAGTGCGGTTGGCGTGTCGGAGCGAGTAGGTGGCCCGGTGGACGCCATCACTGGTCTCACCATTACCGTAAAATCCCACTGCGATGCCAGCGCTGGAGAAGGCAGAGCAGTGAGCAAGCAGTAGCAGCAGCGGGGCCCTGCCCGCCCCCCTGCCCCTCCCCTCCTTCCCCCCAGCAGGCTCACCTGCAGACTAGCGTGGCAATGATGACACACCAGGCGGTGCAGCAGCAGTCCGCGTCCAGGTGCTCGTCGCTCTTGCGCCGCCGGCAGCACAGCCAGAAGGAGTAGAAGAGAAGGAAGAGGAGGTCCAGGGCGAGGCAGGCCAGGGCCACGGCTCCTACCAGCAACAGTGCCTGAGGGAGGGGAGGGCACAAGCACGTTAGAGGGCCTCAGCACGTGGGACAGGGACAGGAAATTCCATGCCTGCCCCTCAATGCACAGGCCAATGCACCTCCCGGGGCCTGGGAGGTGAAGGTCTGGTGGCCACCCTGGACTTGCACCTTCAACTGCATTGTGTATCAGAACTCAACCTCCATGTGGGCAGGCCAGCGTACAAGCTCCAGGTCTCCATCAAGGCCTCCATGCACGCCCCAAGGATATGGAGGGAGGGGTGTCCCCAGCAGGGGGCCTAGGGTCAGTGCCACACTAGGCCCTAAGCACACACCCAGGGTGGCACGCAGCCACAGAGCAGGGTTCCCTGTCCTGCCACCAGCTTGGGGCTGCTCCTCCCCTCTCCTCCCTCAGTCCTGGGAAGGACCGCTGCCCCCCAGCCAGCTTCCCTGTACTCTCAGCATGTGAGGGCAGTGTGAGGGTCTTCGGGGCTGTTAGGCAGGGAAAGGTGAGCGCTGCCTGGCTGATTAGTCTAAGTGCCCACTCCACAAACATCTGGGGGCTCGCATGGGAGGGCTAGGTCTTGAGCCAGTGTAGGACTGAGGGCTGGGCACTGTCTGCGGCACTCAACTACACTTGATGAGAAGGGGCAGGCCCCCCCATACCACTCACACATCAGGAAGTCCTGGGGACACCAGGCCAGGTGCAGGTGGCATTCCCCCTTGGCACCCTGGCTCTGGTGCTGTGTTCCCTTGGGACATGGCAGATTTCCCACCCCCCTCTCCCCAGGCTGGCACCCACAGAAGAGGATGCATTGCATACACAGCGAGATTCCCGGAGCCCTGCTGTGGGAGAGGGATGGTACTAGTCCTCTCCCCCTGGGCACAGCACTTTTCAGTCTGCCTGGCCACCTGCTTCACCAGCAAATAAGCTGCTGAGAAGGCAGAGAAAGGACCAGGCCCCAAATCCCTACATTCAAATGCAGCCCTTGTGGGGGAGAGGGTAGCTGGCTGTCCCCAAAGCCTGAACATGGGGACTTGTTGGGGCAGAATGCCCCCTGCTGGGACCCACTGAGACAAGAGGTCCTGGATCAGCAGTGCTGGTCCCCAGTGGGCTGTCACCCAGGAGACAGTTGCCAGGCAGAAGGTGGCAGACACTGCTTTCCCTAAAGTCATCTAGTTCCACCCGTGGAGGCAGCCTGTTCACCTTCTGCCCTGCCATGAAGGAGCTGACCAGAACCTGCATATCCAGAACCTTCACAGTCCAAAGCCACACTGCTGGCTGGGGGGAGGCTGAGCTGCCCACACAGGGGGCACTCAGGAGGCTTGGACCCCACCAGGAGGCTGAAGTTACAGCTGGCTGCACTGGCAGGCTGAGGGGGAAGGGAGAGAGTTGTCACCTCCTGAGCCCAGGGCTCCCTTAGGCCCTAGATGCTCGGTCCAGAGGGGCCACCGTGCACATGCAGAAGTGGAGAGGAATCAGGCACTAACGACAGGCCAGGGGCCAGTCACCTGGTAACGAGGGCCTTGACAGTCCTGTACCCCGGTGCCAGGCCCCGCACAGTGGCTGTCAATAAACACTAGTGTTCCAACTGCAATGTCCCCTCACCTGCTCTCAGCTGGGCATGGCCCAGCCCCATCTTGGCCCCGTACTGGCCAGGTCCCTTCAGTGGGCTCTCCCAGGGCCAGCTCATTCCCTGACACCTCTACTCCACATCTAGAACACATACACTCCTGGATTTTACAGGAGGCTCTGACAGCGGCAGGGCCGGGCTGTCCAGCTGCTCACAGGACACAAGCAGTGCTCCCAGTCTGGTTTTTCTCCTCCATGTGCTGGGAGCACACACTCCCATTTGCCAGATGGGAAAACAGAGACCTAAGATAATGGGATCTGGGATGGTGGGGACCCCAGCAGCATGAAGCTCAGTACATATGCCACTAGGTGCCTGGCACCTGCAGGGAGCCAGCTAAATTTCACCATAGGTAACCTACAGAAACGGCTGGAAGATAGAGGGGCCATGGACCAGAGAGGCGGTCCCTCAGCTAGATGTGCTGGTACTGGTCAGCTCCTTCATGACAGACAGCCTGCCCCCAGGTGGTGGGCGCTGTAACACACAGGGCTGGGTAGGAACGTGAGGCTGCGTTTCTCTCCACTAGGGTCATGAGAGCTGAGCCAATGGGAGGAAAGCTTTGAGCAGCACCTTGGCAGACCCGGCCTCCACAGGGCTGGGTGGGGCAGGGCCCAGCTCCACAGCTCTGAGGGCGCCCCGGTGCTGCTGCACCTGACATGTCTCCACCCACGGCAGGTGCTCACACGTGCATGCGCCTGCTCAGTCACAGCCATGGGAACATGCAGCCTCCACACTCCACAGGCTCTGAGCCCCCGGACATCTGCAAACACCAACAGCTAGGGACAAGGGACTCCCCACTGAGGAATATGGCAAGGCCAGGGCCAGCCCCAAGAAACCCCAAGCATAGGTACTTGAAGGGAGCAATGTCCTGGGGCCAGGCTAAAAGCCAATGCAAGAAGACCACAAGTTCAAAACCAGCCTGGCCTACACAGGAAAAACTATCTCCAAAAACAGGACAACAGAAAGGAATGTGTCCTGGGACTTGGAGGGAGGAGGGGAGGTGTCACCCAAGGGCACCAGAGTCACCGAAGCCATGCAGGCAGTGATTGGAATGCTATCTTGCCCATACCAACCTTGCTGAAGCCATCGCTACCCCCAGGATCCTGCACACAGAGGGATTCGGCCTCACTGTAGGTAAGCTGAAGCCCCTCCACCACCCCACTCCCAACTCCAAGTCTGGGCAGCCCTCTCTCCAGCAGGACCCATGCTTACCACCTGAGGCAGGAGCCAGGTGGCCAGGTCTCTACCAGGCCAGCCTGATTCAGCCCCACAGGTCAGCCTGGGCGCTGTGAAGAGTGTCACGGCAGGCATGACCAATGACCATGGCTGGGACTGCAGCCAGGTCCCTGGAGGATGCATTCCACGGGGCCAGGCTGATGGATAGGTGCTGGAGCAGCCACCACTGTCCAAAGACCCATTCAGGACAAGGATGGAAAATGCCTCTTCAGCACTGAGCTGACTACATGGAACTTTCCATCCATGGTACAAGTGACATCCGGGCTCCATCGGGCAGGACTGCGCAGGCCGACCACCCTCCCTGAACCTTGGGGGCAGCCTAGGCTGGGCCTCTGGGGTCTCATAGGTCTGAGGGCCTAGAACTGGGTCCTGGGTCCCTGACTTGGGACATGGTAAAGATTAGGACCCCTTGCTCCCTGCAACACCCTGGGTGTTAAGAGTACAGGAAGTCTTGGTGGAGGGGTGCAGGCACAGGTGAAAGAATATGGCTGTCTGGGCATGGCACATTCAGTGGCTGGAGCTGTAAGGCCTGGCAGGGATGTGGGACGGGAGTGGGAGGCTCCACCGCATGGACAGGAAGAGCAAAGATAGGCCACCTGGTGCTGCCTGCACCCACTTCCTCTCCATGCTGCTCTACTTCCTGTGGTCCCTGGGCATGGCACCTGTCCGCCACTGCTAGCACCTCACCCACATAAGACTAGGCTCAGCACCAGCACATTCTTGAGAGCAGGGAGTGGGCTCACCTTGGGCAGCCAGTGCCTAAGCTGAAGGCAGAGGAGTTTGTGGTTCTGCCTAGAAACCCTAGCCGTGGTGGGCTGGAAGAACACAGGCTGAGTGTGCCTGTCACACAGATAGATAGCTGCCCTACTGGAAGGCAGGTATGAGCACCACTGTCATACTGCTGGCCACCAGCAGGGGGGGCCACAAACACACCGAGTCACACCTGCATGCCTGCAGCAGGGGAGAATCCCCACACCTGCCAGTCTGCAGCTAGTAGTCTGCAGGCCCTCCCACCCCTGCAGCAGGCTGATCCTCAGCGTCCCCGCTGTGTGTGTGGGGGGGGGGCTGCACTCTAGGAGGGCAGAGCTCAAAGAAGCCGTGTGCCAGGACCCAGTGCCAGCAGTGCCCAGGGAGTGGCCTGGCAGCACCGCATTACCACAGTGGGTGTGATGACGCACACGGGAGGGCTGAGGGAAGGGGAGTGGGGCCTCCATCTGCCGTGGGCTGTTCCCACAGCAGCCCTGGATCTGCTAGAAGACACAAGGCTGGGTGTCTGAGCAGTGCGCCCCACTCGTATCCTGGGCCACCAGAGGAAAAGGGGAGCAGAGAAGCCCCCAGCGCTGAGCCCCCACCTGGGGTAGCACTGCAGACACACGGCTGGCTCCGCCTGCACAAGTTACCCCCACAGCCCCGAGTCCGGGAGTCACTGGCCACCGGTGGGCAGCAGCACATGGAGCTAGCACTGGCAGCTAGGAGGTTGGCTGACCCTTCCATGGGGAGTCACCAGCCTGCAGAGAGATCTGCTTGCCGAGCCCAGGCTGCTGAGGTTCCGGGCTTGCTGTGGAACCCCAGCCCCCATCCCCAACACACTTGGCAGAGGCTCCCAGCCACGCAGGCCAGAAATTAAAAACAGATTTTCCACGGGCCGGGCTTACGTTTCATGAATTCCATGACTGTGAGCTCTTGGTGGGGCCTGGACAAAGTGCGGCTGCCGGTAGTCTTGTGGGGACTGGAAAGCAGAGCCCTAAAACTTTCTGCACGGACTGCTTGTGTTCACACCCTCCTGGAATGGCCTGGAACGAGCCCTCCCCCCCGCACCCCTGCCCTCCCACAAGCCTGGAGCCAGTTCAAGTACAGGGACCACAGCCCCCCTACAGCCCACACCACCCTGCCCTCACCATGAGCATCTGCATCTGCCCGTGCTGCTGCACACCTGGCTACCCTGGGGACAGGCCCCGGGCCTCACACCCCAAGACTTCTCAAGGGACCCCCCACAATGGCGAGGAACCCATCCCAAGGCGGACAGTGGAGCATGGGCATACTGGGCCTGGCACCCTCCTCCGAGGAAGGCTGCCTGGCCTAACAAAGTGGGTAATGCCCCCATGCCATGCCAGCCCGTTCCTTTGGGTCAGGCCTCAGGTCCTAACAGGAGGGGGCAGGGGGAGGGTGTGCCAACTGAGGGCCAAGCAAGAGCGGCTGTGCAGGTGTGCGTGAAGGCGGGCTCTGAGAATAGAAGGAATCGGGCCTTGGGCAGCCAGGCCTTGGGCCATGCCTCTCCGGGTGCCCCACGCCCTCTCCTGGCTGTGGACAGAACAAAAGCAGCTTGTGACTGGCTGTCACCAAGCACTGGCTGGAGGTGCAGCTCTAAGACAGGCCATGTCCCAGCACATGGGCATTGCTGCCCTGCAGATGACGGGGCCTCCAGCAGGCGGAGTGGGTGACACGGCACAGTGCCCAGGGTCCATGCTGGGCTTGCATCCTCACCTCCTGGCAGGGCTAGGTGTCATGGGACCAGTCCCTCCTCTGGCTGGCACTTCCCATTCTGCTGACCCCAGGCCCTGTGCTGAGGCCTGGGTTCCTCTTCCTGGGCCTCAGCAGAGCCCATGGGGGAAGGGCACAGCCCTGAACTCAAGTCCAGTCCATGGGGAGAGGAGCAGGCACGAGCTGGAGCCACAGCCCTGGTCCAAGGCCACAGTCAGTGTCCAGCTACCAGGGACACTGTGCTGCCATCCCGGACAGTGCAGCACAGACACCAACAAAGCTCCCTGGGCAGGGGCCTGGGGTTCAGGTGACAGAGCATGGGTTAGACAAGTTGGGGCCCCAGCCAAGAGTAGGAGGCAGGGAGGATCTCTGCAAGAGGAGCCCAAGATCTGGACTAGGAAGGCCAAGCAAACCCAGAAGTGGGCAGGGGGCCCTGCAGATGGCCTGGGCAGACCTGAGAGCTAGGAAGTTGGGTGTCTGCAGACAGAATGACCCCCTCCCCCTCAGCTGACTTGTTTTTCATGTGCATGTAGCCTTGGTGAGCTCTGAACTCATCCTCCTGCCTCTTCCTCCTGAGCGCTGAGATTACAGGCAGACACTGTCATCCCCAGCCAGCAGAAGCTTTCCCAAAGACTTCTCTTCTCCAGGAAGACTGAGGGCACAGGACTGTGATCAGAGGCCTGAGGGCTCGTGGGCCCAGAGCTGGCCACTGCCTCCTCTCAGTCTCAAAAGCCAGGCCACCACACAGCTGAAGACCAGGACAGCTCCAGGGTAGGGCTGAGGGTGGTGCTACCTCCCTTACACACACACACACACACACACACACACACAGAGTGCACAGGGAGCTCTGGGAATTGCAGCCTCATCTACTCATCTACTCCTGCCACTAAGTGGCACCAACCAAACTAGGCCTCTGCATTCTCCCCTGGACTCAGCACCAACCACAATGGATAAATGCAGAGCAACTGGACTTAGGCTGGACCTTCCCTGCTTCACTAGTGTCAAGCCCCAGCTCTGCATCCCCACCAGTGCCTAGTCCATCAGCTCCTGCCCACCTGTGGCTTGTTCTAGAAGCTTCCACAAGGCTCTCTGGGGTGCTTGTCACTGGCAACTTCAGGATAGTGACCGTCATGGTGGGGTACTGGGGGGAACATCTGGAGGCAAAGCCACAAACACATCTAAACTACAGCATGTCTAATGAGCAGATGGCATGCCGGGCACGGCTCCTCATGCCTGTCATCCAGCCACTGGCAAAGCGTAAATTAGGGAGGACATGGTTCAAGCCCAACTGCGTCAAAAATTTAATGAGACCTGTCTCAATTTAAAAAAACTAAACAAACCTGGGTGTGGTGGTATATGCCTGTCTCCCCAGCGACTTGGAGGAGTAAGTGAGAGGACCCAAGCCCAGGCTGGCTGAGGCTAAGAATGGGAAATAACTACCTGAAAGATAACTAAAGCAAAAAATAAATACCAAGGGCTGGGCGGTGTGGTACAGTAGCTCAAGACGCTGGGTTCAAACCCCAGTGCCATCAAGAAAAGGAAGGGAGAGGAGGAGGAGGGAGGAGGAGGAGGAAGAGGAGGAGGAAGAAGAAGATAAGGAGGAGGAGGAGGGGGAGGAGGAAGAAGAAGATAAGGAGGAGGAGGAGGGGGAGGGGAAGGCGGCGACAGCAGTAGCAACCAGAAAGCATACAGCGGGACTCTGCTTTCAAGTGGTGCCCACCCCACAGATGTGGCCGACTCCAGCCAGAGGGCTCCATTGTGCTCCCATTGAACATGCCCAGCCTTGGTAAGCTGAAGACAGGCGATAAGGCTGCTTTTTTAGCCAGAGCTCATTTCCTGAGTAGTGGAGAGGATGACATTGAGGGCCGCCAGCCAGGAGGAAGACGTGGCTACTCTGTCACCCGCCTGCCACTGGCCTTGTAACCCAGGGGCTTTGCTCTGCTAGGAAACCATTCAGCCAGAGCCCAGAGCCCTCTGCGTAGTCACACTGAGCTTGTGGGCAGCACATTCCCCCGTGCCATGTGGATAGAGGGCCTCTCCCTTGCACTGAGCTCACACTCAGGCTTCTCTGCCTCAGGGCCTTTGCACATGTTCTTCTTACTAACATTTTCTTCCCACCACTTAAATCTTACTAAACAACTGAGCATTCAGGGCTGGGTAATTATGTACCCAAGGTAAGCATTACCTACTACCTGGAAGGCCCCCTGCAAGCCAGGGCTAGCCTGGTACCTGGAGCAATCAGGAGATGGGCTGACCTCAGCAGACCACCTAGCTGGAAGAGTCTTCATGGCCTGCCAGGCAAACACCTTCTCCAGGAAGCCTTCCTAGACTGCTGAGCCCCTGCAGTCCCTTTTTCAGCCCTATAAAGGTTTCCCATCATCAACTGGCAGTAACTGGCCTGCCCTGAACTGCCCAGACTGAGCCAGACTGGGAGCAGACCCAGGGTTAATGGTGGGGTGTGAGGGTGAATAGGAAATAAGGAAGCAAAGATCCCAGAAGGAGACCCAGTGGTCTGTACCCCAAGCATCTCTCATCTCCCCAGGTCAGGATAAGCCAGGGTTCACTACCTCATGGACCCTCCCCCAGTCTCCCAGCCAGCATCATCTCACAGAGGTTGGACAAGCCTCACGCACATCTGGGCCCACCCATGCATCCAGGAAGGGCCTTTCTGCTCCCACCCCTCCCCCACCCCAAGCAGCCCTGTTGTTTCAGGATAATGTGAAGAGCCCCAGAGACATCAAGTCCCCCCCCCCCGCCCCCCGCCTAAAAAGCTCTGGCCGTGAGGAGGGCAGGGGCAGGAGGCATGTCCACAGACCCACGTCAGGAGCAGAGGCGGCGGCGGGGGATGGAGACAGGTTGCTTTCCACACCGTGAATTATTCAGTGGCTAATTCTGCTCCTCGGAGAGAAGGCAGGAGAGTGAGTCAGAGCCCTCCCACGGTGGAGAGGAGTGGAGCGGGGCAGCAAAGGGGCAGAGCAGGCCCTGCTAGGGCTCAGGGCCCTACCACGGGCCAGCAGAGTAGAAGAGTCTGGCCAGCACCCCCAGATCCCCATGGGCCACCCACAGATACCTGGTCCCCTTCCCTCCTTGCCACCTGTGGTGGAATCTAGGCCCTGGCTGCTGCCCCCACATGCAGGTGGCTCCCCACAGGCCACAGGAAACAGCCATCAGTAACCCAGGTGGCTCCAGGTTATCACCTTCAGAACCAGCAATGGGGCCAAAAGCTCAAGGCAGATATTCACGCAGAGGCCTCCCTGCTGTTTCTGAGCCTGCATGCCTAGGCCAATCCCTGGCCCTCTTTCTAATCGGCTTAGGGACTCAATCAGCTGGTGGCCCCAGGTTGGGGGGGGGCCATGGAGGGGGAGTTGGAGGCGCAGCCAGTTCTCAGGCACCCTCCACTTCCGGTTCTCCTCCTCTGGATAAGAGAGGCTGCCTGGGGCAGAATTGGTGAGGTGACACACAGCCTGGGAACAGTGTGTTCCCATGCCACTGTGGGGATCTGCATGATCACCCAGGAAAACCCTGAATTGCTTGGGGAGATTGGGAGACCTGGTCTCACACACACCCCAACACCCCCCCCTCCCTGCTCTGTAATCGGGATCCCCAAGCAGGAAGGAAAAGTCCACAGCCTGGTCTCCTGCCTTACACTCAAGTGAGAGTGTAGTGGCACCAGGGCTTGGCATGACCCCAGCCTGGGGCTCCACTGAGAGAGGGGTTGAGAAGGGCCCCAGGCCCCCAGCTCTGCCCCTTCCTGGCACTCCTTGCAGCCCTCTTGTCTTGTCTCCCTGCAGCCTGGCCTCCCTTCCCTCCCCTCCCCGCCTGCTGGCAGCCAGGTCTCCCACAGCTACACACCGCACTGTGTGCACACGCCACAGGCTGACCGAGGAACAGGGGGTCATTACCAGCCACAGAGGATTGGCATCTGCCCAGACCACTCACCCACCAAACGCCTGGCAGGGATTCCCCAAGCCGGGGCCAAAGGACTGGATGAGGAATTCCCTCCTGCCCGCACTCCTGCCTGGGCTGAGCTCTGGCCCCAGGGCGGGTGGGGGGCCCTGGAGTCCCCGGGGAGAAGGCGAGGGGGGTGGGATCTGCTGGGGATCAGCACCAGGCGGACCCCCAAGGATGGAGGACTAGGTCTCCATGCACCCGGATCCACCAACCACACAGGGGGCCTTGGAGAGGCTGGGGGTGGGGGGGACCCTCGGGGGAGGCCCGGAAGCGGTGAGGACCCCCCCCCATTAGAAGCTGGAGGGGGTGAGGACCCTCGACGGAGGCCGCAGGGTTTGGACCCTCGATGGAGGGGACCCTGCCTGGAAGTGGGGAGTCTTGGGACCCCGACCCTGGGGGCGCGTGTCACCTGCTGGTAGTCGGCGTCTTCGGGCCGGAACTGGCTGCTGGTGGCCTCCCACCGCAGGTCGAAGTGGGGCAGCCGGTGCAGGAGGCTCACCCACCAGGGCGCCGCGTAGCTGACCCCGGCCATGGCGGGCCCGACGCCGCGCCGCTGCGCGGGGCTCCCTCGCCTTCCCCGGGCGC